AGAACCCGCAGGCTCAGGCAATTCACTCACCTCAGCCTCCCAAAGGCACGGGATTACAGGCTGAGCCACTGAGCCCGGCGTTTAGTGAAGTTTTAAGAGGCATAGAAACTTTTAAAGGCAGAATGTGCCAGGTCATGGAATCACACCAACCACGTTTGAACAAGCTCTCTGAGGGGCAGAATGAGGCATCTCCTCTTGGTCTGAGTTTTGTACTGATAGTGACCACTCAGGTGACAGGAAGGGGCAGGGGCCCATTCTCTGGTCCACTCTGAACTCACCCTCGCTGCTGATTATTTAAGTCATGTATGTTCCATAAACATTGTAGAAAGTTGGAAAAGTCCAGAACAGTCAAGGTGAAGTCATTAGCCATCCTTGAGTCCTGAATAGCAGCTGTGTATCTAACTTCCTTCCCTTCTTTTTATTTTCTATGTACATGTTTACTCACAAAGTTGGGATTGTACTATTTTTTCAGTTGAAGTGTCACTCTGTTGCTAAATGCAGTGGCACACTCCCGGCCACCGCTGCCTCGACCTGCTGTGTTCAGGCATTCCTTCTGACTCAGCCTTCCAAGTAGCCAGAAATACAGGCACACACCACCATGCCCAGCTAATTTTTTGGTTTATTGTAGAGACGAGGTCTCGCCAAATTGCCCAGGCTAGTCTCGAACCCGTGGACTCAGGCAATCCTCTTACTTCAGCCTCCCAAAGTGTTGGGATTATAGGCATGAGCCACCACGCCAGGCCTGGGATTGTACTTTTATATATACTTTATTATTCTCTTAATATAATAGCAGGAACCGTCTTGCAAGTAAAAAATATATATCTTATTCATGAATTTTCACACATTTAAGAGAAAATATATAGTTGATTTCAGTAATAGAAATTTCTCCAACAACAAAATTTTTTTTCTTTTGGTCAGCCAGGCACAGTGACTCATGGCTGTAATCTCAGCACTCTGGGAGGCTGAGATAGGAGGATTATTTGAGGTCAGGGTTTGAGACAGGCCTGGGCAACATAGGGAGAACTTACCTCTGTTAAAATATATATTATTTTTGTCATCTGTTCTCAGAACCAACCTAATTTGAGTCAAGTTCTTTGTTTTTCCCTCCCATGACACAACCCAGAAAGTCCTATGAGTTTGAAGACATACTGCCATCTTCCTCTGAGCACAACAGGGTGGACTGGTATGCACAGACTAAGTTGGGGCTCACACGCACTTTATCAGAGGAGAACATCTATGAAGACATTCTAGGTAAGAGGCCAACATGTCTGCGTGTGGGTCTGAGTCTGCCTGTGAGAAAGGAAATGGGGTTGGCTGCTCAAAACATATACACACTCAGAGGCATAGAGGTGTGCTCAGATGAGGGAGAGAGCAGGTCGGGGGTGGGAGGACGGGCTGGTGATGAACACCTGAGGAGGCTGTGTGGCAGCCTCCTCGTGGCCCCTCTCCTTGTGGCAGCCTCCTGTGGCAACGGGGTACCACGGAAAATGTGAGGCTTGGAGTCTCAGGATCCAGACCCAAGTATTTGCTCTGCTACTCACTAGCTGTAAGACACTGAGCCGGTGACCAAATGTCTCTGTACTTCAGTTCTCTCCTCTGTATAATGAGGATGATCACAGGGTTGCTGAAGATCTAGGGAGACGGCATGTCAAACACTCTGGTTTATAAAATGCGCTCAATCAATTGTAGGGATCACTGAGTAAAAGAAAACACTGCAGACCAGCATACTCTTTCAGAAACTGTGGAAGTGCAACTCTAATGGGCATCAAAATTCAGACTAAATGAATGTGTTATTTAAAAATGGCCTAGCTCAACTTGTACCCCACAACTTTAAACCAAACAACAACAAAAATGGCCTGGTTCTAAAGGATCCTCTCAAATTCCAATGTGAAACCCAGATTCACAGAGTTTGGTGAGTTCAATAGTCTTCGGGGAAGATCATGGTTTCAGTAAGGTGTGAGCTCAGACTGATGTGTGCTTATGGTGGGGTTGGGAGAAGAAGCAAGTTTGTAGGGGGAGAACACTGTATGTGTGTTCAGTGGTTGAGGGGGCAGGTTGGGAAGATGTACAGAGACATGCATGTGTGTGACTAGCAATTTCAGAAAAAACCCATGGGAGGAGGAGGCTTGAGGACAGTGTATACTTAGCTGAGCAATTCCCATTGCACCATGGAGCATCTAAACTGCAGGGTCCAGGCTGCTGGAGATAGGTTCCTGCCAAAGCAACAGGTATCCCAAATCTAAAATGGGTATGAGAGCTGGACTTCTCTTAGCAGTGACTGCCTGACAGGATGCTTTCAGTCACAAGGAACAGAAAACCCATCAGAAACAACAAAGGGAGTTTGTTGGCTCCTGGCACCTGAACTGCCTTTTCCTTCCTCTGTTTATCTTTCAGGTAGCTCCATTCTCAGCAGGTTTCCCAGGGTCTCCACGATGGCAGCCATCAGCTCTCTGGAATCCATACCTTCCAGTGGAGAAAGGAGAACCTGTGTCCTGTCAGTCCCAGCCAAAATCCTGGGGTTCACCCTACCTAGACCAGCTTAGGTCCCCTTTTCACCTCAGAGCCCAGGAATGCCATGCAGTGATTGCCTGAGACTTAGGATGTGATCCTTTCCTGAGCTGATCACTGAGGCAGGGATTTGGGCTACTCAGATTGGCTAAAGCCCTGACACCGAGAATGGAGTTAATTTCATATAGCCATAAATGAAGGAGAGTTAACCCAATGAAATCGGGTCTGTTACCCAGGGGAAGGATGGATGGATAGCAGAACAACAGATATCCCTGCAAGGACTAACGCAGAAGAGGCCAAAATGGCCTTAACGTTCAGAAAAAGAAAGCTTCCTTCATGTTCCCAGGTTCCTGACCTGTTGTCTCTGACCACAGATACGCCAATGAAGGAAAACCCTTATGAGGACATCGAGTTACATGGCCGCTGTCTGGGGAAGAAGTGTGTCTTAACCTTTCCGGGTTCTCCTACCTCTTCCATCCCTGACACACCCAGCAAGGTATGAGTTCCCAGTCGAGTGATGACGGAAGAAGGGTCCCCAGCATAGGGACCTGGAGCACTCTAGAGTTCTGGCTTACATTGGAATCCCAGGTCCTCACTGCCAGGCCCCTGCATTTGTACACCTGCTGGCCGGCTGGTCTTCCAGCCTCCACTTCTCCTGGAACCTCTCTGCTCACCAAAGCTTCCTAAATGCCATTTAAACTTCTGGCTCAGAAACCTCCTCAGACTGGATGGATAAGAGGTGGTGCATCCATCCTATACAACTGATAAGAAGAGTGTCTTGACATAGAGCTCGCTCGAAGACACAGCGCTGAAAGGCATGGTGTAGGATAGTATTTTTTTTTTTTTTTTTGAGGTGGAATCTCACTCTGTCCCCCAAACTAAAGTGCAGTGGCCGCTCCCGGCCACCGCAACCTCAACCTGCTGGGCTCCGGCGATCCTTCCGCCTCGTCCTTCCGAGTA